TGGTTTTGTTGTTTATTTTAATTTGTTATTGTTGTTTATTTGAAGTTGTTTTTGTTATTTGACGTTGTTGTTGTTGTATTTGTTGTTGTTGTTGTTGCTTATTTGACATTGTTGTTATTGTTGCTATTTATTTGATGTTGGTGTTGTTGTTGTTTATTTGACGTTATTGTTGTTGCTTATTTGACGTTGTTGTTGTTGTTGTTGTTTAAATGACGTTGTTGTTGTTGTTGTTGTTGTATTTGTTGTTGTTGTTATTGTTGTTGCTTGTTTGACGTTGTTGTTATTGTTGCTGTTTATTTGACGTTGTTGTTGTTGTTATTCATTTGACGTTGTTGTTGTTGTTGTTGTTTATTTGACGTTGTTGTTGTTGACATTGTTGTTGTTGTTGTTTATTTGATGTTGTTGTTGTTGTTGACATAATTGTTGTTGTTTATTGGACGTTGTTGTTGATGTTTATTTGACGTTGTTGTTGTTGTTGTTGTTGTTGACGTTGTTGTTTATTTGACGTTGTTGTTGTTGTTGTTTATTTGACGTTGTTGTTGTTGTTGACGTTTTTGTTGTTGTTGTTGTTTATTGGACGTTGTTGTTGTTGTTTATTTGACATTGTTGTTGTTGTTGACGGTGTTGTTGTTGTTGTTTATTTGACAATGTTGTTGTTGTTGTTATTTATTTGACGTTGTTGTTGTTGTTTATTTGACGTTGTTGTTGTTATTTATTTGACGTTGTTGTTGTTGACGTTGTTGTTGTTGTTGTTGCTTATTTGACATTGTTGTTGTTTATTTGACGTTGTTGTTGTTGTTTATTTGATATTGTTTTAGTTGTTGCTGTTTATATGACGTTGTTGTTGTTTTTTATTTGACGTTGTTGTTGTTGACATTGTTGTTGTTGTTGTTTATTTGACGTAGTTGTTGTTATTGACGTTGTTGTTGTTGTTCTTGTTTATTTGACGTTTTTGTTGTTGTTGTTGTTGACGTTGTTGTTGTTTTTTATTTGACGTTGTTGTTGTTGTTTTTTATTTGAAGTTGTTGTTGTTGTTATTGTTGTTGTTGTTTATTTGACGTTGTTGTTGTTGTTGTTTATTTGATGTTGTTGTTGTTGTTATTTATTTGACGTTGTTGTTGTTGTTATTTATTTGACGTTGTTGTTGTTATTGTTTATTTGACGTTGTTGTTGTTGTTGCTGTTTATTTGACGTTGTTATTGTTGTTTATTTGACGTTGTTTTTGTTATTTGACGTTGTTGTTGTTGTATTTGTTGTTGTTGTTGTTGCTTATTTGACGTTGTTGTTATTGTTGTTATTTATTTGACGTTGTTGTTGTTGTTTATTTGACGTTGTTGTTGTTGTTGTTGTTTATTTGACGTTGTTGTTGTTGTTGTTGTATTTGTTGTTGTTGTTATTGTTGTTGTTTATTTGACGTTGTTGTTATTGTTGTTGTTTATTCGACGTTTTTGTTGTTGTTGTTATTCATTTGACATTGTTGTTGTTGTTGTTGTTTATTTAACGTTGTTGTTGTTGTTGTTGTTTATTTGACGTTGTTGTTGTTTATTTGACGTTGTTGTTGTTATTTATTTGACGTTGTTGTTGTTGTTTATTTGACGTTGTTGTTGTTTATTAGACGTTGTTGTTGTTGTTGTTGTTTTGACGTTGTTAATGTTTTTGACATTGTTGTTGTTTTTGTTGTTTATTTGGCGTTGTTGTTGTTGTTGTTAGTGATTGTTGTTGTTGTTGTTGTTGTTTATTTGTTGTTGTTCACTACAAGAAAAATGATAGATTGGGACGGTTATTTTGGCTGATTACGACGGTTAAAACCGTCGCAATTTACAATCTACGACGGTAGAAGTACCGTCGCAGAATCGTGCGTCCCCAGCCTATTTCGCGACGGTTGCAAAACTGTCACGCACAACAGATAGCGACGGTTATATACCGTCGTGAATTTGACTTTATTTTTTGTTTTTGTTGTTGTTTGCGACGGTTATTCTACCGCCGTAGGTTAGAAATTGCGGCGGTTTTAACCGTCGTAATCTGATTTATAAATTTCAAATAATATTTTTATTTAAATTATTATTTAGTAAAATAATTTTAAATATAATATTATTTTACTATAATATTTTACTATTATATTTAAATTATTATTTACTTTAATATTTTTTTATTTATAGTATTTTTATTTTATTTTCTATCACTTTTCAACATAATAAAGTTAATTACAATAAAAACATTTAATATCAAATAATCATCAATAATATCAAAAAAATGTGATCAAAGGTAAAAAGAAGTGCAAATTTTACCAATAAACAAGAAAAATTCAAATATCATCAAACTCCAATTGTATGAAAAGTTATAAGGTACAGAAAAATCAACTACAACAAAATCTCCAATAAAATAAAATTCACTTTCCGCTAAGGAGAAACCTAATCAAATTTGGATATGTATCAAGGCGTCTCAAGTTCTTTAGATATGTATGATACATAAATTGAGGACATTCTTCATATAGAAGCACGTCGACACACTTTTTCAATTCCTGATAAATATAGACGATAGAAATGTCTTCATATAGAAGCATGTCATAAACATCATTCTTTATTTTCTCTTTCAACTCTTCATTCAACTGATCTAATATGCTTTCTTCCATGCTTGGAAAGCCACACTTGGTGTGTATCCAACCTGTAGTATCCACATCAGTTGTGTATAAGTTGAGGTAATTGTCCTTAAACATCAGAAGAGAGGCCTTCCTCAGAGGCAAGGGAGAGAGCAAGGTCACGAACCCTCCAAACATGCACTGCATCGTGAGAAGCATCATTCCCTTTCATTGCTTTCTCAACCAACGCCTCAGCTTTTCTTACCCTCTCTTTCCTCTCCATCTCCATCCTCTCTCTAGTTCCAGGAACTGCAGTTGCGCACCTCACTCGGCCAATATATTTTCTTCTACTATCTTACAGACCAGGGAGGCCGCTTGTTGTTTGCCTGCATGAGAATGTGATCATTTAAATGGAAACAACAGTTTGCCTTTGATTGCACAGTTTATATTGTGCTTCAAACTTTATTCAGAAAACCACATCAAAAAGGAAATTAGTGAATAACATCAGTTAACATACCCCGATTTCTGTCACAAACCGGCATGATGAACACCTGACCTGTGAAGCGTCATATGGATACATTAGCAATAGCGTACAACTCCCACACTTAACTTGCCCGACCTGATCAGCTACAGGGAAGAAATGACCTATGATATAAATAGATTGCCACACAAAACGATAATGCATGCCGTATCATGTTTTTTACACAAGATTATTTGCAGCAGCAAGCACGCAACTACCAATAGCAGGACTGTTCTTCCCATCATGAAATTGTTTATGAAAGTATTTAATCAACCAGGTGCATAAAAGCTGAACTTAAAGTGCAAAGTTTCACAGAAAATACACGTTCAAGATAAAAAGAAGCAAAGAGAAAGTAAACTTGCCTTCAAACACAATGTTGACCGTTTGACAGCATGAACATTTGACATGTTTGGCACCTGATGGATACGAAAGCATAATTTAGAAAAATAGTCTTAACTATCTATGCTCTACTTAGATACCATTAGTTAAGGTAAATCATGTAGTTCACTTCATGTTCTACTTAGGTAACATTCTATAATGCAGCTTCTTTCCTCAATTGCTTTTAAGTGCATGAAGAGGAAAAAATTACCACTCTTTAGAATTTATGCAGGTTCTGAAGTAGATCACAACAAATAGCTATGAAGTTCATGAAACTTGGAACTCGGTCGGACTCTTTCTACACCGAACAAGCTACCAGGTATTCATGTCTGTCTGGCCTAAAATTAGACCAAGTTCTTTATATATTCTGCAACATGATTTTGTTGTCAAGATATAAGTATAGGAAACTTGATATGAGTTTGTTATCTTAATCATGAATGCAGGAGTCTAGTTTCAGATATACCTCCTGACCTTGTGATAAAAATCAATGATACAACTTATCTGCTACACAAGGTATTGTTGCTCGTTTGTCTTCTATTTCTACATACGCACACAAAAAATTGGTTAGTGTATAATTCTACTTTTGTTGGTTGCAGTCTCCGCTTCTTTCGAAATGTGGCCTTTTACTAAGACTTGGTTCTGATATTAGTGATTCTGAGAGTGTTCCTCTAGAGCTTCATGATATGCCTGGTGGAGCAGAAGCTTTTGAACTCTGTGCTAAGTTCTGCTATGGAGTTTCAATCAACATTAGTGCTCATAATTTTGTACCTTCACTCTGTGCTGCTAAGCTCCTCCAAATGAATGAAACCATTGAGAGGGGAAACTTTGTAGGTAAACTTGAGTCTTTCTTCCGTTCTTGCATTCTTGAAGGCTGGAAAGACTCCGTTTCAACACTGCAGGCCACCGAGAAGTTACCAGAGTGGTCTGAGAATCTTGGCATAATAAGAAAATGCATTGATTCGATTATTGAAAAAGTTCTTACACCTCTATCACAGGTAAAAAATAATCAAGACCGAAAACTTCCTTAGCATAATATTTGATACCGTCTTGGTCTCATGCATTGATTATGTACAGGTCAAATGGTCTTACACTTACACTAGGCCTGGTTACAACAGAAAAGAGCACCATTCTGTTCCAAAGGATTGGTGGACTGAGGATATATCCATTCTAAACATAGATCTTTTCAGATGCATAATAATGACTATTAGATCAACACATGTGCTTCCCCCGCAGCTTATCGGAGAAGCGTTGCATGTTTATGCATGTAAATGGTTACCTTGCATCAAAAAGGCTAAAAGTTCAGGAAGTTCAGCATCACAAACAGAAGAATCCATTAGGGTATCTTTGAATATTGAAAGAGAGTGAAGGGAATAACAGTGCAGTAGGTGATTAATAACAGTGCATAATTTAGAAAAATACAAATTATATAGTAAAATCCATTAGGGTATCTTTGAATATTGAAAGAGAGTGAAGGGAATAGAAAAACAACAAATTCCAAGCAAAACAAGCATAGCAAAAGTGATTTTACCTAGAAAAGTACTCATTTCCTTTAGTAGACTCTGAATCTTCTGTTCTGGAAAAGTGCAGATCATTGACAATATAAGATCATAAGATTCAGTTATTGGATCATGCTTTTGGTAAAGCTAAATCTAAGTTTGTAAGCAAGTCTAAAGCAATTAGAGATATAAAAGGAAGATAGTCACTATACCTCATCATCAAGGAAGACCAACCTCTAAATCCTGCAGAAACAAGATGATTAATGGTGACATTTTGGTACGTTTCAGGTTCTCTTGATACCAAAATTATAGGCCACCCATCAGTTTGAAGGTTCATGTATAATCTTAAAACAAACATGAGCTTTACATGTTTTGCCTCTTTGACACAGTTGCTAATGCCGTCCCTATGAAACCTGCACCAAAATAATGAAGAATGCCATCAAGTTGGTGGAACTACAAATAATGCTATGAAGTAGCCAGAATTATGCAAGTTAGTGCAACAAGTCACTAATATGTTATCACCTCTGATACGAATTTGGAGGAACAATATCATCTATATCCAACAACACCACATCCAAACCATTGTCTGAAGGTCTCAGATTCTTGAAGTAATCATCGATCATAGACACAATTAAATTCAACTCTTTGGCATAATGCCCTCCTTTGATATAATGTATAGTCAGATCTCTACATATGTTTGGAAGATCATATCTCTCTAACCTATTGATCTCAGCATGCAGAGAATACACCCTGCAATAACTGTAGTAATTATTCATATTCACAAGTTCAATAACTCCAGTACTTTTACTTTGACATGATTGCAGCATAATCACCAAAGAAACCAGCAAAGTAATAAGTAAAACTCCAAGAGTGACAAGGGAAACAACGAAAATTGTTGCTGTAAAAGATGACATGTAGAATCCTGAATCTAGACCATAATGGCTAGATGTATCTGTGAAGACAAAAAGAAAAAAAGTTACTACTTGAAAGTGCTATTAATAGCAGTGTTTTAAAAACCTAACTAGACGGATTAAACCGTGAACCGTCATGGCATACCGGAATTCCAAGCAAAACAAGCATAGCAAAAGTGATTTTACCTTACAGACAGCAAACATAAAAGTAGCACCGCAACAGAGCCTACAAAACGCAGATATGGTTAAACTCTAAGCCCATTCAACCACAATGTTCATGGGATTTTGGCATTCATAATCAGAAATACATGCCAACTGGTTCTTCTCATTAGGTAACTCATAAACTAGGTGACTTGATAGTTCCTTATATTCTTTGGGATAATTATGAGAATCTGAAGCAAGGTATTTTGATCTTGAGGTTGGTTTAGGAGAGAGCATGACAAAATATGTATGTAGGTTCTTATCAAGTTTGAGTGAGGGTGTCTATTCTGGTGAATTTACAGATTGAGGTGGGGTGAGTTTTAGAGACATTCTCATCATACATGAGTTGGAAGAATCTAAGACATTATTAGAGACAAGGTTCAGAGGTATACCTGTGTCATTAACTTTTTCAACTTTTGGTGCAACATGTTCTTCTTCAATAATGGTTTCAAGGGCATGAGAAACAACTTCTTCTGACATGAGAACAACTTCAGCATCTGAAATACAGAGGGAGAGAAAACAGAGAACTTGCGACCAGGTACTAAGCTTCACTTCATAGTAAAAATTCTTGGAGAGCATAAGGGTACTAAGCTTCTTGAGACCAGTGAGTATTCTAAGAGCACCAGTGATATTCTTCAGCTTGTTATCAGAAATCGACAAGAACGAGAGAGACTCGAGTCCAAGTATCTCAAACGAAACCTGTCCCTCAATCTGATTAGACGCAAGCCTCAATGCAGCAAGCGACTTACAATCATAAAGAGTCGGCGGTAACACACCAGTAAACCTATTGTTACCAAGATCAAGCGTAGCAAGCCTGACCAATCCGGAGAAATTGAATGCCGATAGATTTCCTTCCAATCTATTAACCCTCAAATTCAACAGAACGAGATTGTTACAATTCATCAAAGACGGTGGAATCGTACCAGTCAAATTGTTGACATGAAGAAGCAATTTTTCCAATTTCAAAAGCTTACCAATATCCTTAGGAATAGAACCTGTCAACTGATTGGAGTAAAGCTCCAAAACTGTGAGATTTGCAAGATTAACAATTCCATCACCAATTGTTCCATCAATTTTATTCAATGGCAATGATATTTCAATGAGTGAAACAACATCATAAACATCAATTGGGATATTCCCTGATAGTAGATTGAAACCTGCTCTAAATCTCACAAGCTTAGAACATGCACCTAAACCAGTCTGAATAGCACCGTCAAAATCATTGGAAGAAAAATCCAAGAATCTCAAAGAAGAACTCTTATCTACACCAACACAGAGAACTTGAAGAACGCGAAGAAGGAGATACCAGCGTTGTCGTTGAAGACGAAAAGAGAAAGAGCAATTAGGATTTAAACATCTAAAACCCTAATTGCTAATCACCGTAGCTTCGCCGCCGCTATTCCATTCGAACTCGCCAGAATCTACAAAGCAAGAGAGAAAGAAGATTAGAACAAATCGGACAGAAAGTCATAAAGCAATCGCGAAAGGGGTAAGATGTTTAGCTTTTTGTTTGTTTTTGGTGGTTGGGTTTTGATTGAGAGAGAAGTGGGTTTGAAGGTTGGGGGGTGAGAGGCTGCGCGGGAGAGAGATGAAGGGTTCACTGTAAAAATAAAATTGTAACAAGAATAATGAAATGAATAAGAGCTTTTTAAGAGCTTTTTAACTTTTTTACGGCGACGGGTGTTTTACCGTCGGGACCATGAGAATTTTTAAAGGTTTTGGGTGCGACGGTTGTTTTACCGTCGTGAAATGAATTTTAGGACGGATAATTTTACCGTCGTGAAAGGTTTAAAGGTGCGACGGGTGCTTTACCGTCGTGATATGCCTTTTAGGACGGTTAATTTTACCGTCGTGACTAGTTGTTGGTGAAAAATCAATGTTAAAAGTGTTAAATGGGGGCCGACGGTTGTTTTACCGTCGTAAACACTGTCTCTATATGTCAATTACGACAGTTATCACATAACTGTCGCAATTTTTGTGTCGTTAAACACTAATTTTCTTGTAGTGTGTTGTTGTTGTTTATTTGACGTAGTTATTGTTGTTGACGTTGTTGTTGTTGTTGTTGTTGTTAGTGATTGTTGTTGTTGTTGTTGTTGTTTATTTGACGTTGTTGTTGTTGTTGTTTATTTGATGTTGTTTTAGTTGTTGTTGTTTATTTGACGTTGTTGTTGTTTTTTATTTGAAGTTGTTGATATTGACATTGTTCTTGTTGTTGTTGTTGTTGTTTATTTGACGTTGTTGTATATTTGACATAGTTGTTCTTATTGACGTTGTTGTTGTTGTTGTTTATTTGACGTTTTTGTTGTTGTTGATGTTGTTGTTGTTATTGTTTTTTATTTGACGTTGTTGTTGTTGTTTATTTAACGTTATTGTTGTTGTTGTTGTTTATTTGACATTGTTGTTGTTGTTGTTTATTGGACGTTGTTGTTGTTGTTGTTTATTTGATGTTGTTGTTGTTATTGTTTATTTGACGTTGTTGTTGTTGTTGTTTATTTGACGTTGTTATTGTTGTTTATTTGACGTTGTTTTTGTTATTTGACGTTGTTGTTATTGTATTTCATTTGACGTTGTTGTTGTTGTGGTTTATTTGACGTTGTTGTTATTGTTGCAATTATTTGACGTTGTTGTTGTTGCTTATTTGTCGTTGTTGTTGTTGTTGTTTATTTGACGTTGTTGTTGTTGTTGTATTTGTTGTTGTTGTAATTATTGTTGGTTATTTGACGTTGTTGTTATTGTTGTTGTTTATTTGACGTTCTTGTTGTTGTTATTCATTTGACGTTGTTGTTGTTGTTTATTTTACGTTGTTGTTGTTGCTTATTTGACGTTGTTGTTGTTGTTGTTGTTTATTTGACGTTGTTGTTGTTGTTGTATTTGTTATTGTTGTAATTGTTGTTGCTTATTTGACGTTGTTGTTATTGTTGTTGTTTATTTGACGTTGTTGTTGTTGTTATTCATTTGACGTTGTTGTTGTTGTTTATTTGACGTTGTTGTTGTTGTTGTCTATTTGAAGTTGTTGGTGTTGTTGACGTTGTTGTTGTTGTTTATTTGATGTTGTTGTTGTTGTTGACATAGTTGTTGTTCTTTATTTGAAGTTGTTGTTGTTGTTGTTTATTTGACGTTGTTATTGTTGTTTATTTGACGTTGTTTTTGTTATTTAACGTTGTTGTTGTTGTTGTTTATTGGACATTGTTGTTGTTGTTGTTTATTTTATATTGTTGTTGTTGTTGACGGTGTTGTTGTTGTTGTTGTTTATTTGACATTGTTGTTGTTGTTATTTATTTGACGTTGTTGTTGTTGTTTATTTGACGTTGTTGTTGTTGTTTATTTGACGTTGTTGTTGTTGACGTTGTTGTTGTTGTTGCTTATTTGACATTGTTGTTGTTGTTTATTTGACGTTGTTGTTATTGTTGTTTATTTGACGTTGTTGTTGTTTTTTATTTGACGTTGTTGTTGTTGACATTGTTGTTGTTGTTGTTTATTTGACGTTGTTGTTGTTGTTTTTTTGACGTTGTTGTTGTTGTTGTTTATTTGACGTTGTTGTTGTTGACGTTGTTGTTGTTGTTATTGCTTATTTGACATTGTTGTTGTTGTTTATTTGACGTTGTTGTTGTTGTTGTTTATTTGACGTTGTTGTTGTTTGTTTGATATTGTTTTAGTTGTTGTTGTTTATTTGACGTTGTTGTTGTTTTTTATTTGACGTTGTTATTGTTGACATAGTTGTTGTTGTTGTTTATTTGATGTTGTTGTTGTTGTTGTTTATTTGACGTAATTGTTGTTATTGACGTTGTTGTTGTTGTTGTTTATTTGACGTTTTTGTTGTTGTTGATGCCGTTGTTGTTGTTGTTTTTTATTTGACGTTGTTGTTGTTGTTGTTTATTTAACGTTGTTGTTGTTGTTATTGTTGTTGTTGTTGTTGTTTATTTGACGTTGTTGTTGTTGTTTATTTGACGTTGTTGTTGTTGTTTATTTGACATTGTTGTTGTTGTTATTTATTTGACGTTGTAGTTGTTGTTATTGTTTATTTGACGTTGTTGTTGTTGTTGTTTATTTGACGTTGTTATTGTTGTTTATTTGACGTTGTTTTTGTTATTTGACGTTGCTGTTGTAGTTGTTGTTGTATTTGTTGTTGTTATTGTTGTTCTTGTTGCTTATTTGAGGTTGTTGTTATTGTTGTTATTTATTTGACGTTGTTGTTGTTGTTGTTGTTTATTTGACGTTGTTGTTGTTGTTGCTTATTTGACATTGTTGTTGTTGTTTATTTGACGTTGTTGTTGTTGTTGTTTATTTGACGTTGTTGTTGTTGTTGTTGTTGTTTATTTGATATTGTTTTAGTTGTTGTTGTTTATTTAACGTTGTTGTTGTTTTTTATTTGACGTTGTTGTTGTTGACATTGTTGTTGTTGTTGTTTATTTGACGTAGTTATTGTTATTGACGTTGTTGTTGTTGTTATTGTTGTTGTTTATTTGACGTTTTTGTTGTTGTTGTTGTTGACGTTGTTGTTGTTTTTTATTTGACATTGTTGTTGTTGTTGTTTATTTGAAGTTGTTGTTGTTGTTATTGTTGTTGTTGTTGTTGTTGTTTATTTGACGTTGTTGTTGTTGTTTATTTGACGTTGTTGTTGTTGTTGTTTATTTGACGTTGTTGTTGTTGTTATTTATTTGACGTTGTTGGTTTTGTTATTTATTTGACGTTGTTGTTGTTGTTGTTATTGTTTATTTGACGTTGTTGTTGTTGTTGCTGTTTATTTGACGTTGTTATTGTTGTTTATTTGACGTTGTTTTTGTTATTTGACGTTGTTGTTGTTGTATTTGTTGTTGTATTTGTTGTTGTTGTTGTTGCTTATTTGACGTTGTTGTTATTGTTGTTATTTATTTGACGTTGTTGTTGTTGTTTATTTGACGTTGTTGTTGTTGTTGTTGTTTATTTGACGTTGTTGTTGTTGTTGTTGTATTTGTTGTTGTTGTTATTGTTGTTGTTTATTTGACGTTGTTGTTATTGTTGTTGTTTATTCGACGTTTTTGTTGTTGTTGTTATTCATTTGACATTGTTGTTGTTGTTGTTGTTTATTTAACGTTGTTGTTGTTGTTGTTTATTTGACGTTGTTGTTGTTATTTATTTGACGTTGTTGTTGTTGTTTATTTGACGTTGTTGTTGTTTATTAGACGTTGTTGTTGTTGTTGTTGTTTTGACGTTGTTAATGTTTTTGACATTGTTGTTGTTTTTGTTGTTTATTTGGCGTTGTTGTTGTTGTTGTTAGTGATTGTTGTTGTTGTTGTTGTTGTTTTTTTGTTGTTGTTGTTGTTGTTTATTTGACGTAGTTATTGTTGTTGACGTTGTTGTTGTTGTTGTTGTTGTTAGTGATTGTTGTTGTTGTTGTTGTTGTTTATTTGACGTTGTTGTTGTTGTTGTTTATTTGATGTTGTTTTAGTTGTTGTTGTTTATTTGACGTTGTTGTTGTTTTTTATTTGAAGTTGTTGATATTGACATTGTTCTTGTTGTTGTTGTTGTTGTTTATTTGACGTTGTTGTATATTTGACATAGTTGTTCTTATTGACGTTGTTGTTGTTGTTGTTTATTTGACGTTTTTGTTGTTGTTGATGTTGTTGTTGTTATTGTTTTTTATTCGACGTTGTTGTTGTTGTTTATTTAACGTTATTGTTGTTGTTGTTGTTTATTTGACATTGTTGTTGTTGTTGTTTATTGGACGTTGTTGTTGTTGTTGTTTATTTGATGTTGTTGTTGTTATTCATTTGACGTTGTTGTTGTTATTGTTTATTTGACGTTGTTGTTGTTGTTGTTTATTTGACGTTGTTATTGTTGTTTATTTGACGTTGTTTTTGTTATTTGACGTTGTTGTTATTGTATTTCATTTGACGTTGTTGTTGTTGTGGTTTATTTGACGTTGTTGTTATTGTTGCAATTATTTGACGTTGTTGTTGTTGCTTATTTGTCGTTGTTGTTGTTGTTGTTTATTTGACGTTGTTGTTGTTGTTGTATTTGTTGTTGTTGTAATTATTGTTGGTTATTTGACGTTGTTGTTATTGTTGTTGTTTATTTGACGTTCTTGTTGTTGTTATTCATTTGACGTTGTTGTTGTTGTTTATTTTACGTTGTTGTTGTTGCTTATTTGACGTTGTTGTTGTTGTTGTTGTTTATTTGACGTTGTTGTTGTTGTTGTATTTGTTATTGTTGTAATTGTTGTTGCTTATTTGACGTTGTTGTTATTGTTGTTGTTTATTTGACGTTGTTGTTGTTGTTATTCATTTGACGTTGTTGTTGTTGTTTATTTGACGTTGTTGTTGTTGTTGTCTATTTGAAGTTGTTGGTGTTGTTGACGTTGTTGTTGTTGTTTATTTGATGTTGTTGTTGTTGTTGACATAGTTGTTGTTCTTTATTTGAAGTTGTTGTTGTTGTTGTTTATTTGACGTTGTTATTGTTGTTTATTTGACGTTGTTTTTGTTATTTGACGTT